TTAAAAGCGTTCGTTTTATGGAACCAATTTAACCTGCTTTCTCGAGCGCATGCAAACTTATGGTTGAGCAGTGTTGTGTATGTAATATCGTCAGACAGAAAATATTCTCTGAATAGTCTGTAATTGTTTTGAAATTTTATTTGCTAAAATAGTAGTCTATAGTAAAACAGAATGTTGTTGAATATTAAAAAAATCTTGAAGTGGTATCTTACCATGAATTGTTTACGAAAATCAGATATTGAAAAGATGTCATGTGATAATCGGTTAGTGAAAAATGGTAAAGTGAAGATAACAGTCCATTTAATAACTAGGACGAACAAAATAATTAGAAGTTATAATAATAGCTAACTAGTAGTTGTGAAAATAATTGGAAATGATTAAAAATAGTAATTAAAAAGATGATAGATTATGGAAGATAAAAAGGAATGTTAAGACCATGGAAGTGTAAGGGACTGAATATGTTGTTTTTGTACACAAATTATTAAGTTTAAACTGATGGATATGTGGTGTTTGAATTAACTAATGATTCTTTTGTACTTGTTGAATGCTCGATTTTGAATTCCAAATACAATACATTCGTTTGTGCTTGTGTCTTACTTCTAAATTCAATTGTGTTATTTCTGGGACTCTTAGTTCATACGATAATTCAAATAATTCGAAACATTATACTGGCGTTGCGATGGAGCCTGAGATGGAAAAGTTAGATATTCATTCAACTTCTGAAGCTTTTGAAAGTTTTGAAATCTGGGCTATGGTCAAGGAAGATGATGAGGATGTTAATACTGCGGCACATTTCCTCACATTCATCGGGAAAGAAGCATACAGTTTATTAAGAACTCTGGCTATGCCGGAAAAGCCTATCTCGCTTCTTTATACAACTCTCAAGGAACTGCTGCTAGACTATGTTAATTATACAAATTTCGAATCAGGTAAAAGAGGAAGATCTCGTATAGGGATTCATCAGGGTAAAAAAATCTACTACATTACTACGTCATCCCGACCCAGTGCATACACAAGGCTATGAAGATAATTCATTGAGGAGTTGCAATGCATTTCACGAAGATGGGCACAAGTTTGGTCGGTGTTTGTCCTGTGACATCTTCCACTATTTTAATTCATATAAATTTCGTAATTCTAAATGCTTTAAATGTGTTGATATTGAACACATTCAGTCAGTATGTAATACTAATGTTCATCTTACTGCAACTAATATTAAGTATTGTAATTCTGATTCTACTGAGTCGAGTATTCATGATGATCATTTATCTTTATCAACTATTGAAATAGACAGTGTAGAGTCACAAAGCAGTTCAGAGTTAAATCAAATTCAGAATTCTTGCGAGACAACAGTTTCTAATCAACCAACTTATCAGATTTCTCATGTTATTGTACCAAATATGGCTTTTCCTAATGATTCACATATTCCTGATGAAATTTCTTACAAATCTGAAGAAAATATGTTGAGTGAACATAATTATGATCGAAAACCTGATGTAGTCTTGATAGATGTTGATTTTTCTAATGATCCATTACTGTGCAATGACATTCGTAATACATTTCATGAAAATATTTCAGAAGAATCAAATCCTGATGTTATATCATATATTACCTATCCTCATAATGCATTTGCTCCTTGTGGGAAACTTGTTCAATGCGAAGCACAAGTATTAAATGAGCTCGAGTTTGATTACAATTCGGATGATTTAATATCAACTGATGTTTACCCTTATCACAAAAACACTTCTAATGTTTACTCTAAACAATGTGAGCAATATATTTTAAATGAAGACACATAATTCATAACTTGGGGATATAAAAATCCAACATTATTTCGTGGGGGAGGATAGTGTTGAAAAATCTATGGTTCCAATTCCAGATATTAGTGACTTCATTACAAAACCGACATGCTGATTGTATGCAATTCCACGTGAGTCTGTTCCGATTTCGTTTGTTAATTCCAATACTAATGAGCACATTCTAAATACTACAAAGTTTTTATCCAATACAATGTCGGACAGACTCAGGATCAACTTAAGAAGACGTACAACCGATTACAAACACTTATACTTCTATTTAAGCTGTGACGGATGTGGTGTTTGAATTAACTAATGATTCTTTTGTACTTGTTGAATGCTCGATTTCGAATTCCAAATACAATACATTTGTTTGTGCTTGTGTCTTACTTCTTAATTCAATTGTGTTATTTGTTGGACTCTTAGTTCGTACTATAATTCAAATAATTCGAAACATTATAGGATAACATAAGCCTCTGGTTTACATCATTTTTTATTCGCATTCCACTTGAGCCGATTTTTCTGACTTCATGTATAATTTTGATTGAGGCTTCTGGTGAAATGGACCGACCCGAATTCAGTAGATGCTACAATACTGAGGTTTTGACTGACTCCTGTAATTCTTTGGGAAGCTACTGCGTTCAGTTAGATCAATGTGTCCATATGTACCAGATTATATTGGCCATAAAAAGGGAGGCTTTTCGAAAGGCACCTCCGACTATTACTGTGCTTACGTAACTATAAATACGATTGTACAGCTTAAGTGAAATCGTCAAAAATAAAATTACATTCGCTGAGTTTACTTCTTTTTCAATGACACAGTGGTTCAACATCGTTATTTTGGGATTAGTTTATTTAATAACTACAGTAGTAATGTATCTGCCACAAAACAAAAGGGTTGGCAAATTTATTCTTGTTTGTTGTCGTGATTCTGAACTCTCGAGTTATTTCAAATTAGTAGGAAACAATTTAACCATTTTCAGTTCTTTTTTCAGTGGTTCCCTTGTTACTTCACCAATTCATGACAGTCTATATATTGAATCTTCGAATTTTTTCCAAAAAAATTCCCTATAGCATCAATTTAAGTATCAATCGTCGTTCCAGTTTCAGTGTTATAAATGTATTAATCGTAATCAGATTGATCAGAAAGAGTAGACTTCGTCTAATTTCATCAGCTTATTGTCATCTAACTGATCTTAGATTTAAGATCTGGATGGACATACGTAAAATTCTTGTTTTACGACCATATTACTCATCAGTAATCAGTGTTCATCCCTTTTTTCTTGTACTTCATTGGTTAAATTGGTAATCGATAAACTGCCTGTGCCCTTACTGGTTGAAATTCACTTTATTTATGTATGTGTTTATACAAATATAATTGAGGAATCCTGACAATGTTCCGACTCAGATCTAGGGTGCTTCATCCAGTTTTTCTAGCGAATCTGATGACATATGTGCATGGATTAATTGAATATGGACGATTAATTGAATGTTTTGTATTAAGCTCACTTCCAACCAGTAGACTGTGTGTGATCAATCTTTTGAGGTCATTATGAAAATGGTTGGAGATAGACATTTGACAGCTTGGAAACTCCTGCCAAATGTTATAGCATCAGATATTAACCATCCAATCCATTCACATCTTTCCCTTTGTATTTCTTCCACTAGGACGAGATACCGATAAATCAGAGTCCATGTAAACAAACAAAGGTATAAAAGCTGTACAACAGCTTATCTAACAAATATTTTATGCGATGAACAGGTTATAAGTGCTGGCCTGATCAATAACTTGCATTCCTTAACATGTCTCTAACTGAATGCTATACAGATTCTTGTCCTATTAAGAAACACTTCATTTAATTTCAGTTAAGATTGGAAGAAACTTTTTAAAACATGTGCTGAGAATTCCATATTATACCAAACATACAATATCGAACCAAGTTATTATTAAGAATAGTAATAGTAATACAGCGATCCTATTCATATCTCTTAATGTGTTGGTCAAGTACATGTGTCTATATACATATGCTTACTATCTGCCCTATCTTTTATTTATCAAAGTTCGGGGCTAATAATCCGATTATCGACATAATAAAATGAGAAAAGGGAAAGAAGATCTGGAAGTCTATTTCATTATTTCTTTATTTTGTCATAACGCAACCTTCAGAAGACAAAACTGAAATTACCAACATCTAAATGACGTAAATTTTTTGATAAAATAGAAATATATATACACTTTTATAATATGAGAAATTAGATCCGTATTATGAATACATTCAATTGACTTCCCTTTGTTTCAATACAGAAGTAATAAGATTTATAGTAGAATAATATGAATTCATTTATTTAGTGAATTCTTTCCAGTTGATTACAATCTTCAAACAGGGTTATTAATTGTCAAGGCAACAACACAGATACACATACTCTATGTCAGAATGATGTTGAATATAGTTGGATTTGATATTTAGTTTAATAAATAATCAATGATTGTTGTAGAACCATTCAAACATTAATTTATTTGTAAGCTAAATATGTAAATATTCTAAAAGGAAAAACTATGAATAGCATAAAAGTTCTAAAGGGGAAACGGTAATGTTATCACTTTTTATCCACAATATTAAATATATCCCTCCAAAAGAAGTTTTACATTGGTTTTCAAGAGAACTGGACACTATTCAGGTATATTACAACTACATAAGTACTGGATACCCTTGATTTTATGTAATATTTACATGTTTAACTTACAAATAAATTAATGTTTGAATGGTTCTTCAACGATCATTGATTATTTACTAAATTAAATATCAAATCCAACTATATTCAAAACCATTCAGACAGAGTATGTGTATCTGTGTTGTTTCCTTGACGATTAATAACCTTGTTTGTAGATTGTAATCAACTGGAAAGAATTCACGAAATAAATGAATTCACATTATCCTACTACAAATGTTGTTGCTTCTATAGTATTGTGAAAAACCGTATGAACTAGTTGCCTTGAGTTAGTTTGTAGGCGACTTTAATCATAAGCCATATAACATTGGAATTGTCGTTGTATTTTTTTGTTGTTGACTGGAAGTGACAAAATTCTAGGGAGAAAAATACGGAATGAAATAGAATCAGTAATCGAATGGCAATAAATATCGCTTTTTTTCTATGAATATGGTGATTACACAGGTCTTTTGATATATATATATATATATATTACTATCACAGGGTTTCAATTAATTGTGTACAAAAAATAGACTTTTGTTCGTTTTTATCTACTAATACATTCGATGTTGATCCCGATGATGTGATAAACCAGTTTTTATCATTTGCAATGAAATTTTTTCCATCATTATCACTTGTTGATATGTCAATTAGTAATGCATCATTGTCGGGTATGGATACAGTTGAGTTTTTTCTAATAGTATTAGTGGGTGAATTATTTGGTGATATTGGTAATTGAACTGTTACTTCATTTGTATTTAGTTTATTTGTCACAATTTCTATCATTCTATTATCATTTATTTTGGGATTGTCGTCTGTAGTATTATTGTTGTTTTCATTTTCATTATCAACAGGATGCATAGAAGTACATGACTTTTGTTCAAATTCTTTAAGTAAAGGACTTTTTATTTCGAAATAAGAACTGGAATTGTTACTCTGTAATCGATTATTATTATTATCCATTTGAGTATATTCTGGTATATGATGTCTGAAATGAATAAGACTGGATTCTGTCAATGATATACTGATAGGTTTAATAAAATCATTATTATTTAATTCATCATTATGTGAATCCAATGAAGTTAACTGAATTGAATTATTGTTTTGTAGTACACTATTCAGTCGAATCCCATCATTTATATTATTACTATCATTATTAGAGTCAATGTTATTATTAAGTGTAGATGTATTAGCGATGTTATTAGTAGTAGTTATTATTGTTGTTGTATTTGTTGTACTACTTGTAGTAGTAGTAGTAGTTTCATCTTTAAATGAGACAGTCCTTTTACTTTCCATGATTAAGTTAGGAAGAATAGTTTCTGAGGTCTTTTGAATTTTTATATTATTCATAGTTGATTCATTATCGTTGTTATTACTACAGTTAATATCATTTGTAATTTCAGTCTTATTACTATAAGTAACAGGTTTTGTGATAGAATTAAGCATGTTATCTTTTTCAATTATTATTGTATTATCAGTTTCAATATTTTTCAGTGTATTCTCCCAGTCTTCTAATTGTTGTTTAGATATATTCATTTCATTATCCTCTTTAACTTCAGAAGGAATATTCAATTTAATATTCTTATCTTTCATTTTTCCTAACTTATCTGATGTTGTTGTTGTTGGTGATGATGATGATTTATAACAAGTGGATAATGATAATGGTGAAGATGATATAATTTTATTATAATTACAAGGTTCCTGTTTACGAATGGACGTTTTCTTTGATGAATTAGAACGGCAATGACAATGAATATGTTGATTTTGAACATGTTCATGAGGCAAATGATGATGATGATGATGGTGATGCTGATGATGTGAATGTGAATGTGGATATGGATGATGATGATGTTGATAGTAATGATGATGGTGATGATGATGATGATGATCATGAGAATGTGAATAATGACAGATATGAGGTAATTTATTAGAGTTTAATAAATTATTTTCTTCTTCATCATCATCATCATTATCATCATTATCACCATGAATATTACCGACTTTTTTATGTCCAATTAATAATAATTCACCTTTTTGATTAAAATACATTTTTCTTTCAGATTGTTTAAGTTTATAGGCACGTGATTTCAAAATAGAAAATATCATAATTGATAGAAGTAATGCTATAACAATCCCTATTAAACTACATAAAATTGCTGTCCAATGTAAAAATCGTGTAAATGTTATTTGACATTTCATTTCAGCAACATATTCATTATTGAATTTTGAATTAATCAATGATGATTGTTGTCGATAAGATCGATTTAAAAATGAGATATTTTTATAAGATATTATTGGATTATTGATTTTTTGTTGATATTTTAAATTATCAGATATATTATTTACGTTATTTGTTTTGTTCTGATGATGAATAGATGATTTAAATGTTGGTGTTAATGTTGCTATTGTTCCATTACTTTGAATATACAATGATGGTGATGATGATAATGAAGAACTAACAAATCTTTTACGAGTAACACGAAAACATATTAGATACTTTGTATCAGGATGAAGATTAGTTAAATCAAATTCTTTAATTTGATAGTCTTGTATTATTTCTTGACCGAGTAGATCAACATCCAGATCATTATAATATAGGATCTAATGAATAAAGAAAAAGAAAGGTGAGGGAAATGAAGCTTCTTTCATATATTTAAAGCAAATTATTTCTATTTGTAAAGATTTGAATTCTTTCGTTATTTACATTAATATTGAAAACGACAAAGTTTATATTTTTATAAATTTATCTCCGTGTTGCACAAGCTAGTAGTTAGCTAAACTCAGTGATTTGGGGTGCATAATGAGTGGGATGCTTGAAGTGATACACACAGTTGTCAAATCCCAAATCGAACAAAATGCACGTCGTGGATTCAACTTTACTTAAATCAAAATGGTTTACAAAATTACAAGAACTACATATGACTGACAATCAATATAATTTTACTTTCTATGTAACATTAACTTTTGTTACCATTTAACATTGATTGGAGAAACACTGAAAAACAGAAGTCATCTGATAGATGTTTCGTCGCAGTAATGTGGTTGTAGAGATAGCGTAATCACCTTAATAACTGTATTCAGTTCCAAACCTAATTAGTCCACATAAATTTGTAGAATAAATCTACTAGAGCACCTTAGCTACGTTTACTGCCCACTATGTTCCATAGAAACCGCAGTAATATTTTTTTGGGAATATAATATTGTGAGAACGTTAATCGACAGACCAAACTAGGGGCAAAGGAAGTAAATAATATATGGTGTGGTGTGAATTACACTATGGTTGGAACTATAATCTGTAGACCAACCGATTTTATGTGATGGAGGATTTTTGTGTTTAATTCACTTATTCATATGGTCAAATAGCATTCTGGCATTATAGCTGATGTCAGTTCGTGATGAGAAACCAAACAGTACTTCCTAACGTTAAAACGTTTTGAGGAATTTAGCAACTTACGATCTAACGGAAGAAAAAGTTTGATTGCACTTATACACAATTGCATGGAAAGTTCCTAATTTATAATATTTTGGTTTTATTGGTGAACTAAATTACTAACATGACACAATTGTGGGCGTTGACCTTTGGACTAATAACTAGGCTACATCGAACTATTTCCTTATGCTCTTATGTTGAGTTCGACCTGGAGGTGATGCATAATTCAAACAGATTTCTTAGATGAGGATATTTATCTATTTTCAATGTCCTGTAAATGAAAAATCTAGCGTTTTCGAGAGTTATTATGTGTGGTTATGTCATCTATCTCATTGCGATCACTGTCTTAGAGATTAGCTTAATTAATTTAATATTTTCATATACTCACATAAATGTTAACATATATTCGAGTAAAGCCAGATAACGATTTAAACGGAAATAGTATTGTTCATTTAAATGTGTTGTCTTAATTTACAGTGTGATAACTTTTAACACTTTAGATCACATGGAGGCACTATGTTAATAAAATAAATTATTCGATAGATTTTCTATATAGTAAGCTATAGATCTAAAATTAAATTGTTCTCCAATGTGAACAGATTGTTTCCAGGGAAAAATGAACTCCTGTCCCTGGTTGACTATGCTAATGCTTTGTCAAATAGACTACGAAGGCCCTATGATAGTATCTAAATTATGTCATTAGATAGTCATTTTCTAGTCTAGATTGTAGGTTAAAACCACCAACTTTCGATTATTTATATCATATTTTTTTATCCAAGTTGTGGAGATGATTAACGTGGACTTATTTTGTAAATACGTTTTTTCCATTATTCATATGCTGCATACAAGTTGGGTCGTGGAAGTTCACTCTTGTAGAGTCACATACGAGAAAGAAACAGCCGTAGAGTGTTCAGTAATTTTCATCGTTTATCTTACTACTGTATATTTTAATGTGAACTGCAAGAAACAAAGCTGAGAGATTATTGTTTAAATTATTGTAGTAAACGTAGTTCAAGTACACTTTTACGGTTACAACATTAAACACGGTTTCATACTATTTACTTTCAGATAATAGATAGTATCGTTGGTCGTAACATTAATAATATGTGGTCAACTACATGAACGTTTGATAGGATTCTGTTTTTCAAAAAACACCAATACACGTAAAAACTACACACACAAAAAATACTTACTTTGGCCTGCTGAAGTAGATTTTGTGCAACTTCCATAGAACTCCAATCCCATGTTGCTTTTAATCGTCGATTGTCTGAATATCCAGGCAAAACTTTGAAATAAGACAATAAACTATATCCATCATCTGCTTTTTCACTCAGATTTTTTGATTTGATTGGCATTTGTATGACTGAATAATAATTATTGAGTTTACCGTTTTGCTGATGATGGAAATTCAATTATAATTCATGATATGGTTTCTGTTTCTTTTTTCATCCTACAATCGGCAATAACTCTGTTCAATGTAAAGTAAAAATAAGTTATTACTGTTAGAGGTTTGTGGAAACTATTGAGCTTACTAGTTTACACTATACACTAGTCTTCATTAAACAACCACTGAATACGAGAAAGTACTAGATAGCTGTCTCTTTCGGATATGAAACTTCTTAGAGGAATGGATCAAGTGGTCAAAAGATTAGGCACTCGCAGGGGAACTTAAATGTCTTGGGTTTGATCTTGCGTTATAGATCCCAAACACTGAAGAGTCCCATACTATAAAGGAATACTTGTCCAGTGTCTCCACGTTTTTGCGATGGTCATTTAACTAAGAGCAGTCCATGATGTAAACTTTAGAAATAAATAAGCTGAATATTAAGAACTTTTCCAATTTATGAAAGCAAACATTTCCCAATCTTCATACTATTTTATGGGTCAGATTGTTATCGATCTTGAATTCACCGAGGAATATGATAAAATATATTCTAGTTTTGATGTATAGATTCTGTTTTGTAGAATATTTGACTAGACTTAATACTGAATATTGTTTATTCTCATTACCACTAATTAAGAAACTAAAATAGTTTTACACTTAAGTAATTGGGTATATATTATATAATCTACCATATATTTATGTAGAATAAATGGAATGAAGTTAATTATGGGATCCAGGATGCGTATCCCGACTCTAAACGACTAGAAATATTTCCATCTCAGTTAGACGTTCACTATATGACCCAAACCCAATACCTATCGCTTCAAACGTCATCGCATTACACACTTAACTACTGATTCGAGATAGTCACTTGTTTTTGCGACGGATGTCAATTTCAATTTAATTTTGATGCTAGCCATATTCCATCTATACTAAATCAACCTGTGTTATATCGGGTTTTTCGAGGTAATCCGCACGCGATGCATATGTCCCAGTCAAAATGTCAATAGGATAATCGAAACTGCTAAAATTAAACTAAGCCAAGTGTTTATGTAATAGAATTCAGTGTATTCAGTTTTAATTACTGATTTATTTGTATTAAGATAAACTTATCGACATGTAACTGACTATTTAATCTCTGAAAGTCAATGTCACTTATAAAACAATTGGAATGATATCCTTACCTTTTTTGTGACAACAAATAATAAAAACGCAAATTCGAATCTCAAAAGTTACAAAAATACTTAATCTAACGTATATCAAAATAAAATACAATGATTTCTTCATAAATTTGAGTTTGTTATTTTGCTGTCTGATAGTATACGTATTTTGAACATACCATAAAAAGAAAAGCAGAGATGAATCTGCGTTCGAATCCCGCGAGCGGGATTGTGGATGCGCACTGCTGAGTCCCACAATAGGACGAAACAGTCGTCCAGTGCTTTCAGGTTTTCAATGGTGGTCTAATATCAATCGGTTTATGATCTCAATCAGAAACGAATCTGTTTGATAACCTTCTATTAACTAATCAACAGTTTATATTGCTTGATCACTGAGCAATGAATAATACCATATTTATCTAGCTTTTTTGATTCTGACTGAATTTTGTCAATCAAGTTGGAATCTGATCATTACTCTAAGTGATTCAAAATCATACCCGCCATATTTTGATATAACGTGGTTGAAGGTAGTCTTTAAGAAACTCGGGAACTTGGTTCCGTGCTGGTTGTCATTCATCAACAAACAAGATTTGCAAATATGCTTGATGCATGTTTGAATTCCACAGAGTACACCCGTTCCCTCAAGAGTGCAGACACGCTATACTGATGACTGTCAACGAACACGGAGTTTAATTCCTGAATTTTCTTCTGATTACCCCCGACCACTTAACATTAATTTACTCAGCTAACTGAACTGTATCAAACACGTTTACAATGTTCCCACAAACTTCAGTGAAATGACATTGCAATATACTGTAGATAAATTTAAACCATTGAAAGTATTGCGCAAGAAGTGATGAACTTTGATACACGAGGTAATTATCACAGTGGCAGACTATCTATGGTCTAAGATCACATACGCTCAAATTCCTATGGGAGCACTACATTCTGGTGCAAGTAATCTTGGAGAATGGAACACTAATTTTATTGTGGTTACAGATACACTTTACAGTTGAATAAAACATACATGCTTACAAGTAATGGAAGAAGTTAGTAAATGTCTAACCTAAAAATAGCACACCTCACCTTGTTCCACAGCTATCCATTCCGCGTACTAAGGCTTTCAAAGTACGAAGCCAACACATCATTATGTACTTAGAAAACGATTATCTTTAACTGGTCTACAATAATTGTTCTTTAGGCTTTTTTATCAAGCTCACATGTTGTCAAGACCACTAATGAAGTTTCCTTTTAATAATATAGGCAATCGTGTATCAGCAACCGCTCTCATACTTCTAATATAATTACAGGGAAACCTAGTTACAGATCAGTTTGATTAGAAAAACGCATTATCCACTTATGTTAGTTAAAATAATTTGAACACACTTCAAAAAGGAAATAGAAATTAGGCTAGTGAAATTTGATGAATCTTTGACAATTTCCCTACCTCCTCTATATAAAATTAGATTATTTTTTTGAAAATATTTTAATTTATATTTTTATTACTTAAAATCTTTTTTCTCATTTATAATAAGTTTTATCCACTTTTGACCATTTCCTTGCTGATTCACTTTCCAAAATGAAAACAGTATTTTGATCAACTAAAGAAAATGAGAATTAACATTTCTTTCTCTAAGATTATTCTCGGTTAGTTTTGTTTTTGGGTATAAAAATAAGGTTGTAATCGATATTTCAATATAATTGAGTTAGGGTTATTGATAAATTAGACTTGGACGGTATGTAGAACAAAAAAACAACAATGACAGACAACAATCCAGGTTATTTCATTGGTTATTCAGTTAAAGTATCTACCCTTGTATCTTAATCAACCATATAAATAATTTCACGTCAATCATTTTTATGAAACGGATTATTATTATTATATGCCTGAATAATTTTAGGATTATAGAAATGTTGGATAATTGAGGAAATATAGATATATATAAGTACAATTTATTCAGGAATAAAGTTTAATAAATAGATAGTCGTTGTGTGTATGTTTGTGGAACTTAATCTTTTAAGTATGCGCTGCATAATATAAGAGTAAATAATCCATTTTGTCTTTTAAAGTTAAAAAATAAACATTAGAATATTAGGGGATCAGAGACAGTCAGGATTCAGCCTGGAAATTAGCTGGATATCGACATAGTTAGCACTTTCTAGCAAGTATATAATGCCATCTGGTTGGTAAGCTCCGAGCAAAACTTAATGATTAGACAAATTCCACATTGAATACTACTCAGTGATCAATCAATATGAGCAGCACAGTCCTACAAGAGATCATTAATTCCCACAGTAGTGTAGAGGTGACATTTCTGTGATATGTGACTTGGGTTCGAGCCTTGTGTGGATCATAAGTCCCCACAAGACCACAAATCGACGTTGCAGTGGAACCACCTGCTTCTTACACCCCTAGTTGGAGGTCATGGGTTGGATGCAAAATATGCGTTGTTGAAGAGATCTAAACTAAAACGAAATGACAGTCTAGTGCTTCTTAGCTTACGCCATAAAGTTAGTCAATGTCAATTCAAGACGAATATTACTTCCGTTCAATAATAAGTAGTATGGGTGAACAGAGTATCACCTTTTGATTAGTTACCATATGAATTCTATGGTAAACTGGGATTGATTAATTAAAGTTAATATTTCCAATCAACATAACTACATATTGTTTATGGATGTTTTTGGATTACATTCAGAAGGTAAGAAACAAGTGTAATACAAAAAATTCATATTATATTTCATGTATTGTTATAATTTATAAGTTGATTTGAGTATTTCATATTATTGAACTCAGTAATTTAATTCTGCTCAAACTAATAGCTTTAATACGTCCTTACCAGGTTGAATAACTAACTGATATTAGTTAGATAACCTTTGGGAACGAGGAAGCACTGGACATCTATTTCATTCTAGTATATGACTCCTATGAAGTATATTCACGACTTCACAGAAAACCCAACTCAGTGTTCGGGCCTCGCGGCGGACGCTGAATCGTCAGATTACATAATTTTAATCAGTATTTAGGGACGATTTTCTAATGTTTTTAGTGGGTAAATGCTTTACACTACAGACTTGAAATCCACTCATTACGGCTTTTTACTGAAGGAAGACATATAAACGATCGGAAGCCAACTTAATGGTCTAGAGGTTAACCGCTCTCTGTAAGACCTGAATATTATGTGTTCCATCATCGATGGGATGGTGAATGAGAACTTCTAAAAATTCTCATCCAAGGACGAAAGAGCTGCCCAGCACTTTCTGATTTTCAATGGTTGTTTAATTAAAGTTCGTTAGTAATACAAACTATAAACTTCATCACTGAACAAACCACCATACAGAAATATATGTAGTGAATAAATAAACTCAATTAACCCTAAATAAGATTGGATTTTGATCATAATAATCTAAAATACTTCAATATATTTTTTTATGAAGTAAATGTCAGTCTAACATGGCCAGGATAAGCATTGAAGTTGTTTTAAAGTTATTTCGAAGAATTAAAGAGATAAACGAAATTATAATCGGAGTTTTATTGAGACTTTTAACTTGAAAAAAGTCTACATTACGGACCAAACTTAGCTAGAAAACCATTTAGGACCAAGCGGCCAGAAACGTCTCTTACGTCCTAGCACGGGATTCCTCAACAATACTAAACCATGACTCCACGTGAGACCAAATGTAAACAACCCAAACCTATCAGTAAGTACATTGCATTTGAACCCCATGAGTTGTCATCCGATCACCTGGCCCATCAATCTACTCCCGATACTGAGTAATCATTAACCACTGGCATCGGTGAAACCCATTT